CAAACCTAGATGCCCTTCAATAGATGAATGGATAAAAAAAATGCTATATAAACACAATGAAATATTACTTAGCAATAAAATAAAATAAAATTATGGCATTTGCAGGTAAGTGGATGGAATTAGAGAAGATAATGCTAAGTGAAGTTAGCCAATCCCCAAACAACCAAATGCTAAATGTTTTCTCTGATATAAGGAGGCTGATTCATAGTGGAGTAGGGAGTGGGAGCATGGGAGGAATAGACAAACTCTAGATAGGGCAGAGGGGTGGGAGGGGAAGGGAGGGGACATGGGGTTAGCAATGATGGTGGAATGTGATGGACATTATTATACAAAGTACATGTATGAAGACACAAATTAGTGTGAATATACTTTGTATACAACCAGAGATATGAAAAACTGTGCTCTATATGTGTAATGAGAATTGTAATGCATTCCCCTATCATATATAAATAAAAAATTAATTAATAAAAAGAAATGAGCAAATAAACTGAAATACCTTCACTCATAAAAAAAATAAAAATAAAAATAAATGAAACCATCCAAGAGGTACAAGGTTACAATTAGAAGGAATAAGTTCTGATATTAAAATGCACAGAAGAGTGAGAATAGTTAACAACATTGTATTTTTCAAATGACTAAAAGAGAGGATTGAATTCTTTGACATCAAAGAAATGATTTGTGTTGACATGATGAATGTGGTAAATACCCTGATTTCATCTTTACATATCCTACATATACATAAATACACACAAACACACATACACACACATCTCAATGTACCCTCTATATATTATCATTATTATGTGTCAATTAAAAGTAAAATAAACTTAAAAATATATACATGGATCAAAAACTTAAGTAAAATGAGATGTTTAACTTTGCAGGTTTGTGAAAAGGCTGTTAGAGAAAACCTCTTGTCTTTTACCTAGTGGATACTTAATAAATGGTAACTATTTTCATCTCTAAGCACCTGTCCCTGCTTTCTCCTTGTGTTTTTCCTGAAAGAGGAAGAGAAGATGAGAAATGTTTTAGAGGTGTTGAAACCTCCATTCGTATTATTTTTTGCATCTATGCCTCAGTTGATTTTAGCAGTCACTTGAGCAACTGAACATACTCATGTTTATAGGGCTTACCTAGATGATTACTGAGTGTGACTGCAGTGTTTTRTAAAGTCCTAGAGGGTATTAATAACATCCTATTGATATTCCAGTATAAACTGGCATTGCTAGAATCTTCTGGAAGGGAGGGTTACTGAACTGCAGTACCCTGAATTTTACACCTTTGGGCCTTCTGAAATCTATAGCTAAAGACCTGGCGATCACATCTTCATATCTTTAGTCCTATCAAGGGACAAACAGCAAACACAACAGTGCTTCTGACAAGTTTAATGTGTGCTTAACTTTTATGACAATTGAAAGGATTTATACTTTTTTATTACAAATTAATGTAACTTCTGGCTGAAATGCAATCCTTATCCATATTCAGAAAAAGTACAACTAATATTTAGCAAGAAAATAGAGGAGTTTGAAACTTTGTTTAAGAAAAATAAGGCACTTTATCTGAACAAATTTCAAATGGATCCATTTAAAATGAAATTAAGTGACACTTAACTGATTTGCAAGTTGGGGCCTATTTATCTCAGTAAAATGATTAAAGTCTTGATTTATCCCTAAAATTAGCTTTATTGTTACACTTAATTATGCTGGGAAATTGTTAAAGACTTGTAGTCTCTCTCTATCCCTTTAAACTACGCTTTATGCAGCTAATAATTGAATATTGGACAGGATAACTTGATTTTCCAAAGAAATATGCTTCTAATATTTTTTTTCTCTTTTTATTGCAGAAATTGAAACAAGTTGAAGAAACAAAAGAAGATTCTGAGAATAGATTATCTAAAATTTCCCTGGAGTCATTCAATAAATTTAACAGCAATACCGTGATTTTATTAGAAAAAGAGAACTCTCTGAACAAGGTTGAAGGACAAAAGGAAGAAAAAGAAAAAAATGAAGAGGCATCTTTAAGTAGCTCAGATAGACCTGGGGTAGATAATTTGGAATCTTTGAGTGATTCTTTATATGATAGCTTCTCTTCTTGTGCAAGTCAAGGTTCAAATGATGTATAAAGGACTTTTCCCCTCTTAGTGACAGCTGGGAATAGTGCACTTAAGGAAATGGGGCAGGGGTGGGAGATATAGAGATAACCATAAACTATTGCAACTCCAGAGTCTACCTTGTCACATTCACAGCAGGCGACCCAGCAGAGCATATGTCTCTGGTAGGGCAATAAAGAACAACTCCATTTATTGTGTTTCAAGAGCATTAAAAAGTAAACACGATACAGACTTCTTAATTTTGCACTTTTTTTGAATACTTGTACAGAAGTTGTAAATGTTTTGGAAGAGAAATTATATTTGTAGGAGGAAAAATGATAGCAATAAATGGAATCAGTGCCATGCTCTTGAATTGATGTACTAAGTCTTAGAAGTGGATGATAATATATATATATTTTAAAATTTCGACTAAAGATTTTGTGAAGTTCATTGTTCTAGTCCTCAAATTATTTGTGGGTACACCTAAAACAAGGCCTATGGGAAAAAAAAAAACAGATGGATCATGGTAATCTCTATCTTACAATATCATTTTGATAGAAATTTTAAATTCTACCATCATTTCAAAAGTATTGCCAGAGAGATTCAAGTCATAGGGATAAGTGTAATTCTGCCTTTCCTGAAAAATAAAGTGTGAACACAGATTGGAAGTGTGACACTGAATCTAGTAGCAATCTAACCCTAATTCCAATAGCAGGTTTCCCTCCAAACATTTCCTTACATCCTCTTCTACTCAGTGCTTCTCTCTGATTCTGAGTAGTATTTGCTGATCTTATCTTCTTGCTCTTTTTATTAAAATCTGAGTACTCTCAAAATGAAAGCAAATTCCTATTTGCCATGTTCACTTTTTAAAACATAAAATGGTTGGTGCTATAAAAAATTCTTACTTTTAATATTCTTTTTTTCTACAAAGACTGTTTATATRTAAGGATAAATTCTATTTTAAAGGTTATGTGTATTTTTTCTAGATGTGAACTATTTATAATTGCTTTTGTACAGAAGCTTGTAAACTAGGCATAATAGAAATATTTTTAGGATCTATATGGTTACTTTAGCACACATTTCTTTCTTTAAAGGATATTGTATGATCAGTGTTATTTTGTTAATTTGTGCAATTTGTTATATTTGAACTTTGTTACCTTTAATGAAAATTATGTAAAGTGCCCTTGTCTTTCAGACTTTTAAAAATCCCTTTGTTTCATTTCTGAATAAAAGTCCTATTACAATTGCACACTCTGAAAGCTGGAAAGAACTTGTTCTAGGACCCTTTGGCCCGCTCAGTTATTTCAATCCTGACTAACACGCGTTCCAAGGGTGGATTCCCCGAAGGAATAAATAAACTGGCCCTTTTGCTCCCGTGATAGCAATTCAGCCAATTGTAAGATCAGAGTCTGCAGACAGGCGAGTAATGGTCAAAACGTTTCAGTCTCCCAGAGGGGTTAACCAACTAGAAATGAAAGGAAGGGGGGGGGGGGCAAAGGGAAAGAAGGGCCCTGAGGCAGATAACGGAATGATCTCTGCAGAAGAATTACAAGAAAGTCATTTATGCCCATTTCCAGACCCGCTCTGCTGGCAGGATGGGGAAATAAATGATCTGAGTCCTAGCCTGAGCGCTTCCTTCCCCCAAGACTTAGCAGGAGGAGAAGAGGGGCAAAGCTTCAGAGGGTATCTCCACAGAAAAGGATGCTCCCTAAGGATTGGGGATAAAGGGGTGGGAACCAGCGGGATTCGGGGCGGGGGGGGGGGTGCACCATGAGCTGAGGGCAGGAATGCGGGGCTCCGGCACCACCTGCTGCAAAGCTCGACAAGGAAGGCGAAAAATAGCACCGTGGCGTCCCGGGAATACACAAGGTGGGTCGTTTGGCATTGACCAAAAGAGAAATGGCTGGGGCTCGGGCGGGGGACCGGAGGTCAAGCCCTGGGTAGAGAGGGTGTCTTACCGAATATATACTAATAATTCGTGGCTTTGCGAAGCAGAATGAAGCTGTCTGGCCTTCTGGAGGGAGAGGATGGAAGAGAGAAATCCTCTTCTTCATTCTGATTTGCTTTCTGGTGGTATGGATCTCAATAGTTGTCCCCGAGGCTGCCTTCCCCTGGACTAGGGGACTCGGGCAGTGTCAAGGCACCCTCCGGCTGTGCGTGCAGGTGGGCAGAGAGAGTGCTGCTGGGGCAAACGCGCCTGTCACTGCAGGGTCCTCACCACACTCCTACCCACATGGCGGAAGATGAACGGTAATGAGAATCAAGGAGGGGCTTCTCGGAGGAAAAGGGAGCGATACTAAACGGGACGCCCCAGGGATTCTGTAGATGTGCAACTTTGCGGGGTACAGAATATCCACCTCCCCAGCTGAGGCCAGTCGCCCCGGGCGGCGGTAACACCGGTGCTCCGGCTGAGTGGTCCAGAACCAGTTGCTGGCTTAGTGGTTATTAGCCAGCAGAGCACAGGACGCGGGAGGTCCAGCCCWGGACACTGTCTTCTAACCCTCACCACCTAGGTCCCACAGTCTGCGGTGCGCAGGTCCCCGCGGCACCTGCTGCTCCCTCCTCACGGGTCCCCCTCCTCCGGTCTCCCAGCCTCTGAAAACTAGGGTCCTTCTCAAATCCTAGGCTACCCTTTCCCAGGAACGCGCGGAGGCGGGAGAAAAGGACGGCAGGAAGGAGGTGGGGACACAGACGGTCCCAGCCTTCCCCTCCCGCCACCCCCACCCCAACTAGGCAGCCGTCACGTGGTGCCTGGAGTGGGTGGAGGGGAGAAAAGGCGAGACTTTTTTGGGTGCTCTGGATCGCCAGTAGTTCTTCAGCTTGAGCCGCCAACTCCACAGGCGCCGCTCTCGGCTCGGGAGCGCTAGCAAGAGGAGTCCGGGACCCGCAGCTAGGAGCCCCTGCGCGGGCGATGCGGGGGCCGCGGGCGACACCTGCGGCTCCTCTCGGCGGCAGCAGTCGCCAAGGAGGCAGCAGCAAGGGCCCCAGAAGCTTCAACAGCCACAGCCACTGCGGCCCGGGCAGCCTCCGCTGCGGTCGCCGCCTCTGATGTGCGCCTGCCCGCTTCCGGCCCCGCGTCTCCGGGAGGATGTGGGTCCTCGGCATCGCGACAACTTTTTGCGGATTGTTCTTGCTTCCAGGTAAGAGGATGAAGAGGAAAGCAGCCCGGTTAGTCGCGGATACCTCATCGATCCTCTGGTCTCTTCGTCCCCCGTGTGCCCAGCTACGGGCCAGCGTTGCTCTGGGGATGCCCAGCGGGAGTTTAGCGGTGGCGACTAGTGCCTAGAGGCGCTAGACTGGGAAAGTCGCCAAGTCCCGCGCCTGGGGAGGAGAGCCCGGGAGCCCCGSATTTGCGCGAATCCCAGCTGCAGCTGCTCGGGCAGCTCTGTGGGGAGAAGCTGGGCTGGGAAAGACGGAGGGTCAGAACAGTGCTGGGGGCCTATAGGAAGGAGAGGGGACTGCATCCCCCCAAACCCCACCAAGTTGCCTAGCGTTTCTGGCAACCCGTGGGAGTGGCGCCGCCGACAGGTGAGCAGCGCCCCGCAGCAKCCTGCTACCCGGCGGCGCCTGGGCTGGRTTGTTACATTCCGAGCCATATCAATGTGGGGCTAGAAGGCAGCACACAGGGGCAGAGGAAGCGCTGGCAATTAGGTTTAGACCGAAGGTCCCAGAGCCAAAGAGAGCAACCAGCTGAAGCAATGATAGATGCAGATGTCTGGCTTCCTCTTCGCTTACCAGCTCCCGACTGAGCTCTTCAGAGCTGGTACCCCAACTGCAGACTCTAAGCCAATGCTTACCCAGAAAATCCGCGTCCGGAAAGAGCTGCGGGGTCGTGGTCCTGGAAGCGCGCTCAAACGCACAACACAGGTTGCCTTCTACCAGCTGCAGCCGCCTCCGCCGCGGAGAGAACAGTCCCGGAGAAGGGACCCAGGACTTAGGGCGCTGTGACACTTGGCGTCCAGCGACTCCTCCCGGGTTCCGGGGTTGGAGCGCAGGAAGCCTTGGAGCCACAGCATAGGAACGCTGACTTCAAAATAAATAAATAAATAAATATAACTGAAAAGGCGTCTGCGAATGCAATCATGAATGGTGCCAAAATAGTAATTAAGTAATTTGTAACCAATTAGCAATTAGGCAAATCCTCTGGCATAGACTGGAGCTGAAGCTCCTCTCTAGAACTACCTCACAGTCTGGTTTGTACCCCACCCTCCTCCTTTCAACTTCTTGGGCAAAGGACTCAAGTAGTGTTGGATGCACTCTTTGTGTCTAGAGCAGGCATCTAAGGGTCGCAGGTAGCGTTACACTTTATCCTGGGAGACCCTGGGTACCCGAGCCGCCCACTGCCGACTTCAGCTACATCTGTGAAGACACCAGATCCGCAAGCATCTTAAAGCCTGGAACTGACAGCTCTGTGGGGCAGGAGGGGGGTCGTGGGGTCTGGGGTGGACCCAGTGTGGGTCTGTTGTGAATCCCTTTGCATCTGTTCTGCAGGCTTTGCGCTACAAATCCAGTGCTACCAGTGCGAAGAATTCCAGCTGAACAACGACTGCTCCTCCCCTGAGTTCATCGTGAATTGCACGGTGAATGTTCAAGACATGTGTCAAAAAGAAGTGATGGAGCAAAGTGCTGGTAAGAGCCCGGGTGAGACGCTCCCTCCGCCCTTCAGCCTGTTGTGGGAGGTGGGAGGGGGCATTAAATTACAGGGAAAAAAAGGACTGACTTTGATTTAATGCATAAGCACACACACTGGTTATCACAGATTTACTTTTACAATGCTGGGAAAATGAAGAGTTCCAAGTTACTTTAATCTCATTAGAGTTAATTACCAGGGCTTCTCCCCAAGGGACTTGGGAGGAGAAGTGCATTTAAATCAGTGGCTCTCCTCTTTTTATTTACTCCCCTCACCTCCTCATGCTAAAAGCAGATCAGAGGGTGGAAAATATATGAATAACCAGCCTCTGCTTGGGAAACTAGACAGTAGTCTGTGAGCGATGTCAGCCTGAAATATGGAGCTAGTTGAGGTTCCCAGAGGTCAGTGCTTGAAAAATGTGTTTTGTCAGAGAACCACACCATATTTCTTTGAAGAACACTATAGGATCTTTATTTAATTTTAGAAGTAATGCATCAAATTCCAGGCACAAATTGCTAAGATCTTTCAAAGGAATGTTCCCAGCCCCACTGGTGCAACTGCTAGTTGGCTGAGTAAGGGGCCTGGGCATTATGGAAGGGAAGAAGTGGGTAGGACTCTTGAGCATGCCCCCTAATCGTCTTTTCTAAACCCAAGTCCCCCAAAATGTAACTGAAATTTTAAGAAAATGTTTGGAATTCTTGCTTCACTTCCAAGGTCAAACCCATAAGAGAGACATTGCCAATTAAAAGCTATTGAAAAAAATGAGAAATACCATCATGTGATTAATGATATAGAATAAAAAGGAGCTCTGCCCCTGTTTTGTTCAGCAAACTGCCCACAGAGCCCCACAAAGTGATTCCCTTAACCCACTGGCAAATCATTACAAGAATGGTAGTTTTAAAACCAGCACTTTGGAAAAGTTTCCTCTCAATAAGGGCCTGAAAATGTCTTGTTGCCATTGTTATTTGGGTAGTACGCCTGCTAGCTCTCCACAGCTCAGCTCATCACTGTTCTGTGACATGGTGTGTGTGTGTGTGTGTGTGTGTGTGTGTGTGTGTGTGTGTGTGTGTGGTATTACATGCTGTTCCTTTTAGGTCTTTACTGGACAGGGTATGGATTCTTTCTACCAAAATCACTTTTCTGGGAAGGCTGAGACTTAACTGCTCTCAAGAATAACTTGTCCCAAGAAAAGCAGCAAGCATTATTTTCACATAGGATTGGGGGGCTATTAAAAAGGCAGAACAAAACAAAACTTAGTGGTGATTCTCTAGCTAAGACTGTGGATAATTTTTACTAATGACTTCTTTGGTACTTGTGTTTCATTCCTACATTTTACCTGAGCCCCAAATATCTTGTCCTTCTACCAGAAGAATTGTTGTGATTTTAATTTAATCACTGAAAACACTTTATCATTACTTCCAAATTATTACTTCTAAGTATTTTCAGCTTTCTACCTTAGAGTAGATAGAGCCAGACAAAATGGGGAGGTACTATGGACACATGAAGAACTTTTCAGCATCCATGAGGCCTCTGTTTACCTAAGCATTGTGTTTTATAACCTGGATATAGTTGAGAAAATGATATGAACTGAATTCAAGGTAACTTTTTTTTTTCCTGAGAAACACTTCTTCCCTCTGTGTTTCTAAGATGAACACCACACATTCCATTTTCAAAGTGCTGTTTTTTTTGTTTGTTTGTTTGTTTGTTTCTACCTTGCTTCATTCTCTTTCTAAACCATACTATGAAAAGGCAGAGTGGGCATTGTAAACTCCCATTGTATCCAAAGAAAACTTCAGCACAGAGTCACCAAGTGCCTGACCTGAGGTTGCTTGCTTTTAATAACCCAAGATGGGTGTCTTATCTACAAACCAGGTTTCTCTAGCCACAGGTTATGGGCCAATAGAATTAGTCCATCTCAGTTGTGAAGTTTGGAAAACAGGAACAGTTAATGAACACAAAGAAAAAAACCAGCTATGAGGGAAAAGTACTTGGTCCAGGTATGCAGAAGGAATTGTGAGCCTAAATTAGTAAAAGTTAGCCAAATCCACTTGTTTCTGCATCAGAGAGCATTGCGTGGGGGCTCATACTCCCAAGGCACTTTCATGTTTATTGCCAAATGATTATTAGAGACCTGTTAAATTTTTTTGTCAAGGAGGATGAAAAACAAACCTAAAACCTCCATTGTTAAATGACAACAATGTAGCATAAGCATCACTGTAACAAGACCTAACTTTTGTTGTACCCTATGTATTTGGCTCTTTCCCTACCACTTTACATATCATAGTTCATGAAATCTGGTAGTCCTCTTTTGAGAACTGTTTCCCCATATTACAGTCAGCCAGCATTTGATTCTATTGTGTGGTCAACTTCTCCACTCAGAGAAAGAAAATAATGCCTATTAAATGATACCATTAGGAATAAAAATCAGAATTAAGGTCCTGAGGTTCTTGCCTTAGAGTTGAAAGGACCCGTTGATTCCTAGTTAAGGGTGCAATATTGACATCTTCCTGGAGTTTTATTCAACTCCACATGGATACCCCCTCCCTTCACAACCTAAAGCTCATTTCATAATCCATGATATCTGGCCATTGATCTTTTATAAGCTCCCCAAGTGATCCTGGAGTAGTCTAACTAAGAATTGCTCACATTTTTTGTTGTAGAGGAAGAGAAAACTCCACAAAAGTTAGATGTCTGATCCAAGCCCACCACTCTTACCTGTTAGTAAAGGTACTTGAAACCTGTTTCTCAAGATAAAACCTTTGCTATAATACCTCCTACCAGCCTCTTATATAGTAAAATGAACTGTGTGTTTCCCTGAAAAGATAACAGGTCAAGTTCTAAGGACTTAGGCAATTATTATCAAGTTGACCTGCCGGGCTGGGTAGACAGGCCACAAAGGGGATGTGGAAAGAACATGAAAACCAACCTGTAGGACTGTTAAAATTTGAGTGCTGTGTGGCCTCACATTTTTCATAGACATAGAAAATCTAAGACTTTAAATGGACCAAGAAATTTTAATGAACTAAACCCGTCTGACATTAAGGAGTAATGAAAGGCATGCTCTCTCCAAAAACTACCAACAGTGCAATATGCCCAGGCCTTCAGTTAGTCCTTTCTGGATTAAGTCTGCAAACTCAGCTCTTATGAACTTTAAGTCGGGTACATTTAATTTTCAATTGGGAAATACAGTTAAAATTAACCTTTACCTATCCCCCAGAGTGGCATTCCTATTAGGTGCTGAGATTATTTGCCATTGCTCTCTTTCTCCTTGGTCATTTGCAGAATAATAAGGCTTAGGCTATGGGGAAGAGAAGGTTTGCTTCAGCTTCTTTCATTGTTCTTACAAATTGATATTTAAATGTTTGCATAACTAATGACATGTGCTGTCACCAGCTCTGCAGTTAATGGGTTAGTGTCTATATACCAGCACCCTTGATAAGGACACTTCTTTTGCTCTTGTTTATCATTRCATTCCATAAAATATTTCAAATATTGATTTTCATTTCAGAATAGAAGCCTCCCCCACCTTCCAGCATGAATTTTTAAACCAGGGTATAAAGAATGTGAATTTGCATTTGTTTGACAGTGCAATCTTGTAATTAGAGTTTTTCCTCTTGACTAGATACAGTGAAAGGGGCATAATTTAATTTTTATAGACTAGCCAATTTCTGCCCTTAGTAAAATATAGCTCTGTCAGTGAGCAAAATGTTACAGGTTCTCCCAAACCTTATTTAAAAGTTAAATGCAGTATATTCAGAGAAAGTTCATGGTCTGAATCAGTAACCTAATCGATCTCTTCACCCATCCTTTGCAACAAGCATTAATCTATTTGTCTGTTTTGCAATAYAAGAGTTACTGATTTACATGCCATGTTGCATCTACATTATAGCTGTATAAGTAAAGGCTATTTTCCTTTGGATTAGTCTGTTGCTCATTAAGTTGGGCAAGGATGGCTCTAGGTTTTGAGTAGTTTAATTTCATGATCTAAAGGGATAGCAAGAGGACTAGATGTTCATAGAACAATCAGCACCCACTCTTAGAAGACAAAAATGAAAAGGTAATCACAGCCAATGTTTTGTCAAGTGTAGCTCTGCTTAATCTTACCAAGATTTAAACTCATAGGCTCTAGTTTGTCTTTGGCGTTGGCTTGGCAGGAAGGACACCCAGTTCTGCTCATCAATCTCATACCACTGTCCCTTTATCCTGGATTCTTTTATTTAAGATTGCACATGCATTTGAGCGCACGCGCGCACGCACACACACAACAGTACGGGTCTGTGTGAGTTTGTTTTTAAATATTTTTGCCTATGTATATTTGTATATGCCCAAATACACACACACACATGTAATCCTTGTAAGAAAAATATGGTCTTTCTTTGTAAATGTTCAGATTACAAATTATTTAACCCATGCTGTGTTGTAGGCACAAAAGACATTGTCTAACATTTTTTTTTTCCTGAAGCATTTTTTTTTTTTTTTTTTTTAGGTATACCAGTGATATCAGCTAATCTGGTATCTTTCACCTGCCCCATATCTTCCTTCCTCCTGCCAGGTCTCTCTGTTATCTCCCTTTTAGATATCCCACCTATAGTCCTTAACTTTTTCACCTTCAAACCCATTTTTAATTGATCAGATGGATTATGGTATATGTTCTACAAATAAAGTAAAAAACAGATATGTAAAACTAACCATCATTTAACTTTGGAAAAGGAAACTTCAACAGGTTAGAAAAAAAAACTTGAAAATAAAAGGAATTCCAATGTCAAGAAAGATATCCACGTATATTAACAGCATCCTTGCTGTTCAATGTCCACTTCAATAAAGTTATGAATTACACAGGAAGAAATTCTGTGCCATGAATGTCGATATCACTCCTCCTTGCCTTTCTAGACACTAAAAGAACACCCTTCTCTTCAGGGCAAGACATTTTGCCAATCAGCTTGCTCACTTAGTTCTCCAGGTGCATCCATCTCTTTAATGTGGCAGGCAGAGCTGGCTT